TTTGTTGACATTTTACCAGAAATATTAAAACTGAAAGGTTAAAAAACAACTTCACAACTATCATACCCAGGGAAAGGGATCAAACGACTACATTATTTTTTTCCGTTTCCTTTTTTTAAATCTTCTAAATTTAAAACGGAAAATCTGAATTAAAGAGGAAAATACAAAAGGAATCCTTTTGTCATTCGTCCATTAAAATGAAGAATAAAAATATTCTACATTTCAATTGAATAATCTTGTTTTAAGAGGAAATATTTACAGGATATTAGAAGAGGAATTTTCCTCTAAGTATAAGATTACTTTTTTTTGGGTGCACTAAAAATCATATTGGAAAAATGGTTGAAAAATTAAATATTCCAGATAATCGTACGGGAATACCGCCAAAGTCTTTAGCAAAAAGTAGCGAACAAAAAATGTATGGCGCACTTTTTGATTGGTCCAGCGGATGCTGAGCTACACTCAAAAATAGTTTGGAAAAATTTTCAAAAAATTAAATTCGCTAGATAATCTTTCGGGAATAACGCCATAGTGATTAGAAGAAAGTTCTGAACAAAAAATGTATGCCGCACTTTTTGATTGGTCCAGCGGATGCTGAGCTACAATTAAAAAATAATTTGGAAAAATTTTCAAAAAATTAAATTCGCTATATAATCTTTCGGGAATACCGCTATAGTGATTAGAAGAATGTTCTGAACAAAAAATGTATGGCGCACTTTTTGATTGGTCCTGCGGATGCTTAGCTGCACTAGATAACAATTTCGGACAAAATTTGGAAAAATTAAATTTGCGAGATAACTGCTTCGGAATACCAATTTCCGGAAATTTATTTGTTAATAAAATATATATATGAACGTGACAAATTCGGGGGGTAGATGAAAGGATATAAATCCATAATGAACAATTGAAAAGAACTCGACGTTTTTTATGATACAATGGAATTTTGACACCCACAATATAATTATATACATATATATATAAAATAGTTGAAAGAATGCGTGTGTATAAATTTGTATGAATCACATGCCATAGATTCTGACTATGCCCCCCATAGTGAAGAGAGTGTGTTTGATCTCAACGAGCAGCGCAAAACTTGTGAACCAACAATGCTTACTTATATATTGGAATGAAAAATGTCGAGTCACTCTCGACTTAATAAGTAATTATTAATTAATTATTAAAGAGCCGCGAGGCTTCAATCTGGCCTAACACCTTTTCATGCGTCATATATATATATATATATTTGAAACTTTTCTTTTTTTCGAACGATCCTCACTGTCCCCCCAGTGGGGGGTATGACTACACAGCTTGTTGAGTTTAACGGCAAAATGTTAATATTATTGCATAAATACTTTGAATTTTTATGTCCCTCTCTTTTTCTGTCTTTCTTATTAGGTTTACATTGTATATATAATATTCATTTTGGTGTTGACTTTTGTGAATTCTGACATTTAATTTAGTTGAGTTGAATTGTGTATGTACCGTATCATCAAACGGCTTTTTAAAAAAATTGTATTCAAATCATACACTGACTGGTCAGATTTTTTTTAAAGCTAATTACAAAGAATACCTGTAGATATTTGTCATTGTATATATTAATGAAATTATTTTCACGGGGATGAGATGATAGGGGCATAGAAAATATCTTATATTTAATTGTTAACTTTTAAGATAATAATTTAAAAAAAAAATTAATATTCCAAAAACTAAAAATACAATATTTGAAAAACTAAAAATACAATATTTGAAAAAATATAAATATTATATTTTACTAGATATTACTATGATATTCCAAAGGATATTAGTACGATATTCCAAAAAAAATTACTACAATATTCCAAATAATATTACTATGGAATTCCTTAGAATATTATTATAATATTCCAAACAATATTCCGGATAATATTTTAAAGGAAATTATTGTAATATTTCAAATAATAATACTAAAATATTTTAAAGAATATTGTACAATAATATTACATATACTAATTCTGAGAACATTACTATAATATTCCAAAAAATATTCCAACAATTTTCCAAAATAAATAAAAAGGAGTCACAGGAAACAGTTTATATGGAAATAAAATCGATATTCGAAAACTGTTATATTATGATAATAATAATATAAAAAAATATAGGGGAAGAACACATGCCGGTTGGGATCCACACATTTCTGCATCCATATAGTATGCAACTGTGTGTATATATGCGGGGCTATTTTTTTTCTCTTCTTTTTTTCATCGTATAAATTTCCTCTCGTTTTAACCAATTTGTTTTTTTTTTATATATAAGATGATCTCTAATGTTTCGACCTCACGACTTTAATAAAAACAACATTTTGTGACGTAACTTGTGGGTATTCGATCATTATATAGAATATCGTGTTCTCTATGAATCGACTTCCTCTCTCTCCTATAAACAGCTGGTTATAAACTTCCTGGCACTTCCTCGCCGGGGGTCGACCCTTCACTTTTTTTTTTTTTTTATTTTAAATAAGTAAATGCGCACGCCCTACATATGGTATTACACGAGATATATATTTTTTTTAATCAACAGTAAGGATCTTTGAATGAAAACGAAAGCCTACACACACACACACACAGCTGATAAACGTGATGTGAAAAATTATTTCCAGTTACATTTTGAATAAAATAAAAAAAAAATTTCAAATTTAAAAAAAAAAAAGAATTTTTTCTAATAGTACGGAATATTTAGATACATACCAAGGAATATTTCAGTGGAGCATTCGTAACATTTCTTTTGGAATATTTCATCCATATTCCAGGAATATGAAAATATTTTACTTTTGAAACATTCCTCTGAACATTCCCGAGGAATGTTCCAGTAATATTTTATTGGAATTTTGAAGAAATATTCCATTAGAATATGTTGTAATATAGTATTATATTATTATAACTATAATAAAATATTTCTCCAATATTCCAATGAAATATTGCTCCAACATTTCAATGGAATATTTTACTGAAATATTGAAGGAAAATAATATTATGTTTTTCCAATATTCCAATGGAATATTCCTGGAAATTTTCTTAGGAACGCTTCAAAGGACTGATATTTTCATATTCCTAGAATATACACACTGCGCAATTTTTCGGAATATTTCATGTAATTGGGAATATTTACAATAATAATAATAATAATAATAATAATAAATTTATTATTATTAATATTGTTTAATATTGATAAATTATTTGCTAAATTTTTGGAATATCTAAGAAAATATTTTTATAAAGTAATGTCGGAATATTATTTCTAGAAATAGAGATAGAAAAAATAGGATTTTAAAAAAAAATGTAATCAGATAGATTTTTTTACATCTAATGAAACTGCGTAAAGTTAATTAATGTAATGTATGCAAACATATAAAAATGATGAAATGGAAATAAATAATGTGTAAGTTTACACGATTTTGCGAAATGCAAATGGAACGATACTAATTGCATCATGTAATTAGCTGTGATTACTTTGCTTCATCGTGTGTGACACATACCGCATTTATATGTATGTGAATTGTATATATATATATATATATATATATGTATATATCGAGCAAGAAGATCACGCGTAAATCAATCAACGTTCTAAAACCGTTACCAATGGGAGGATAATTGGAGTAGCGACAAGTTGATCAGCGTTCAAGCGGCTTCTTTCACCGCAAAGCGGAATGAAACGCGTAACCATTTCAAAACTTTAAAGCCCACGAATCATCAAGTTCAACTACTCTGTCATCCACCAACTACATATATAAGCAATTGCATCCCAAACGTTCCTATATATACAGATATATTCGCACAACATCAAAATTATAAACAGACAAATAAATATCAAATATTTTTCGTATGAAAAAATTTTTTTTTCAAGATTTTATCAAACAATTTATACTGGGACGGAATATTCCATTAACATTTCTGGAATATTCCAAAAAGAAACATTCCATGCACGTTCAAGAAATTTTAAAATGTCTAACTTTTGAAACTTGTAGTAATATTCCGTTGGAATATTGTAGTAATATTTTATGGAATATTATAGTAATATTTTATGGAATATTATAGTAATATTTTATGGAATATTATAGTAATATTCTATGGAATATTGTAGTAATATTCTATAGAATATGTTGTAGTAATATTCTATGGAATATTGTAGGAATATTTTTTTGGAATATTGTAGTAATATTCTATAGAATATTGTAGGAATATTTTTTTGGAATATTGTAGTAATATTCTATGGAATATTGTAGGAATATTTTTTTTGGAATATTGTAGTAATATTCTATGGAATGTTATAATATTCTATGGAATGTTATAATATTCTATGGAATGTTATAATATTCTATGGAATATTGTAATATTCTATGGAATATTGTAGTAATATTCTATGGAATATTTCTTTGGAATATTGTAGGAATATTTCTTTGGAATATTGTAGGAATATTTCTTTGGAATATTGTAGGAATATTTCTTTGGAATATTGTAGTAATATTTTTTTGGAATATTGTAGTAATATTTTTTTGGAATATTATAGTAATATATTTTGGAAAATTATAGTAATATTCTCGGACAGAATGAATCGAATGTTTTAGGTATATTCTGTGGAATATCATTGTAACATTCTTTGGAATGTTAATATGTAACATTTTTTGGAATAATAAAGTAATATTCTTTGCAATATTATAGTAATATCTTTTGGAATTTTATAGAAACATAGAAATTTTGGAATAATATAGTAATATATTTTGGAATACCGTAAGAATATCCTTTGGAATATTGCAGGAATATTCCTTAAAAAAATTCATTTAAATATAACCACACAATATTCCAAACGAACTTTCTAAAGATGGAACATTTTACATTATATTTCTGGACTGTCGATGAAATATTCCTCTTTTTATATTTCCAATGTTCCAATAAATTATTTCACGATTGTAAATAGAATATTCCCTTGATATTATATTATTTATGAAAAAAAATTTTTTCTCTAACCTTATATTCAGCAACAGATGTATGTCGTATATATTTTCGCCGTGCTGATGTCTTTCGGAAACACACACGATTTAAAATATTTCGTACACTTTTGCAATATAACTTTTTCTTATATATAAAGAATAAAATGATCGCGATTTTATGAATTTCGAACACTCCCGAAAAAAAATTTTGAAAATATAAAATAAAATTTTTGATATTAAAATTAGAAAATTTACACTCAACGTGGTTATGACCTAACAGGTCAATACACAAATTGCAAATGATTTAATTGTCTTGCCTATTGTTATTGACCTTCAACTTTTAAGGTTCTCTTTATTGTACTTCAATGTAAACACAATGATCGGGAGGCAGGTATAAGAGTACCAAAATATTATTTCAACATTATTTCAAATGCAATTATAATTTACAAATTTTTAAATATTATTTCACTCAAAAAAAAAAAAATATATATATATATATATATATGTATGTATAGATCAACTATATTTTATTTAAAAAAAAATTCTAATTTAATCGAATTTTAAAATTGGCTGAATTCTTATTCCACAGAGTCATAATGATTTTAATTCGGAGAAATTAAGATTAAGAATTTCGAACACTCCCGAAAAAAAATTATGAAAATATAAAATAAAATTTTTGATATTAAAATTTGAAAATTTACACTCAACGTGGTTATGACCTAACAGGTCAATACACAAATTGCAAATGATTTAATTATCTTGCCTATTGTTATTGACCTTCGACTTTTAAGAATCCCTTTATTGTACTTCAATGTAAACACAATGATCGGGAGGCAGGTATAAGAGTACCAAAATATTATTTCAACATTATTTCAAATGCAATTATAATTAATAAATTTTAAAATATTATTTCACTCTAAAAAAAATATATATATATATATATATAAATAAACTATATTTTATTTTTAAAAAATTCTAATTTAATCGAATTTTAAAATTAGCTGAATTCTTATTCCACAGAGTCATAATGATTTTAATTCGTATAAATTAAGATTCGGATAATTAAAAATTCGGACATTTAAAAATTCATACAAATAAAAAATCGAACAAATGAAGATTCGGGCAAAATAAAAATTTTGACAAATAAAAATTCGTACAAATAAAAATTCGGATAATTAAAAATTAGGACAAATGACGATTCGGAAAATTAAAAATGCGTACAAACAAAAATTTGGATAAATTAGAATTTTTTAAATAAAATAAAAAAATCTATATATATATATTCCGCGCGTGAACATGAAATTTTCAAGGTTACAGTATCTGCGCGCATAGATCAAAGGTGATGACGATTCATCTTATTTTTGCTACTGTCTTTTTCAAACCAAGTGAACGTTATATTGCTTTCACTTATACACCACCTTCTGCAACACGAGATAAATGAACTTAAAACAAGATTAATTTTAAGATTGCTCTCTTAATTCTACAAGAAAACCGTAAGCTCTCTTTCTCTTTCTCACTCTCTTGTATTCGGAATATATGATTTAATCAATGTGGGAGAAATTATAAACGATTAATGAGTGAGATCAAGCTGTTTCAACAGGTGTTAAACTGCAGTAATATATGCACACATAAAATCGCACAAGTATCAATTAAATCAACGATAATATATATCACGAGTTTTTATATTTTTTTTCCAGTGCAAATTTTTAATAATCTAAATTTTTAATTATCCGAATCTTAATTTGACCGAATTTTTAATTGTCCAAATATTAATTAGTCCGAATTTTTATTTTTACGAATTTTTAATTGCTCAAATTTTTAATTGTCCAAATCTTCATTTATTCGAATTTTTAATTACCCGAATATTCATTTAGCCGAATTTTTATTTGTTTGAATTTTTAATTCTAAAAATTTTTAATTGCCTGAATATTCATTTGGCCGAATTTTTAATTATCCGAATTTTTGTTTCTAAACATTTTTAATTGCCCGAATATTTATATGGCCGAATTTTTAATTATCCGAATCTTAATTTTTTCTGAATTTGTAATTGACAAAATCTTCATTTGTCCGAATTTGTAATTGACCAAATCTTCATTTGTCCAAATTTTTAATTGTCCAAATCCTAATTTGTTTGAATTTTTAATTGTCCAAATCCTAATTTGTTCGAATTTTTATTTCTACGAATTTATAATTGTCCAAATCTTTACTTGTCCGAATTTTTAATTTGCCCAATTCTAATTTGTTCGAATTTTTATTTGTTTGAATTTTTATTTCTAAAAATTTTTAATTGCCCGAATATTTATTTGGCCGAATTTGTAATTGACCAAATCTTTATTTGTTCAAATGTTTAATTGTCCAAATGCTTACTTGTCCGAATTTTTAATTTGCCAAATCCTAATTTGTCCGAATTTTTATTTGTTTGAATTTTTATTTCTAAAAATTTTTAATTGCCCGAATATTTATTTGGCCGAATTTGTAATTGACCAAATCCTAATTTGTTCGAATTTTTAATTGTCCAAATCCTAATTTATTCGAATTTTTATTACTACGAATTTTTAATTACCCGATTCTTCATTTAGCCGAATTTTTAATTATCCGAATCTTCATTTGTCCGAATTTATAATTGACAAAATCTTCATTTGTCCGAATTTATAATTGACCAAACCTTCATTTGTCCTAATTTTTAATTGTCCAAATCCTAATTTATTCGAATTTTTATTTCTACGAATTTTTAATTACCCGATTCTTTATTTAGCCGAATTTTTAATTATCCGAATCTTCATTTGTCCAAATTTATAATTGACAAAATCTTCATTTGTCCGAATTTATAATTGACCAAATCTTCATTTGTCCGAATTTTTAATTGTCCAAATCTTAATTTGTTCGAATTTTTATTTCTACGAATTTATAATTGACCCAAGTTTTAATTGTCTAAATCTTTATTTGTACGAATTTGTAACTGTCCAAATCTTTATTTACCCGAATTTTTAACTATCCGAACTTTTATTCGTTCGAATTAAAAACCTAAAATTTTGTTTTTTTTTACTCTAAAAAAATTAAAAAGAATTTTTTTTAAACAAATTTTTTAACAATTATTAGTACTGACGTTACGAAGCACCGTTTCTTATTTATAGTGAGAAAGAGAGAAGAAACGATGTGGTAGAGAGTAGAACGCAAATCTTCTCTCGCGATGGAGAGAAGAATCGATTTCAATGGGAGTGAATGTCACGCCACGTCGTGATTTTGGCGAGACGGGGCAAAAAAAAAAAAAAAAAAAGACAACTTCGATGGTATAAAGGGCGTATATAAGAAGAGCTTTGTGAGGAATACTTGGTGAGAAGCCGTGAAAAAAAGGGGAGAAGAAAACAAAAAAAAAAGAAGAAATGAACACAGAACCGATTTCGAACGAGGAAAAGGAGGACCGATTTCGACGAAAAGACGATGAGATCTCGTTGATTTTGCAGATGTTATATGGCGTCGTGGGTGTCGCGCTCTCCATGAAAGAAGAAGACAACGGTCCACCATGAAAAAAATACAACCATGAAAAAAATGAGAAAAAACGAGGACAATTGTTTCCTGGTCCTGTGAAGAATTTTTTTTTTTTTTTATTTTTCAAAAGTTAATGTTTGCATACAAGAAAATGGAGAACACACAATTCCTGCATTTATTCTCAAAATGTCGTTATACCTCATTTTGACGATTTTGTATTAAAGAAAAAAAAACAATTTTTTTTTACTAAAAATAAATTTTTAAAAATTGCTAAAAATTCTAATATTGCCCAGGCGCAAAAATTAATTTTTTTCTTCTTTCATTCTTGTGCAATATTAACTTAATTAATGCATAAACCTTAATGATTTTTACAGTAGTTTATAATGAGCGAAAACAGAAATTATATAATAAAAAAAAAAAAAAAAAAAACATCGGCAGGACATAATTTGTCATTTTTAACAAGGCAGAGAGAACTGATTTAGTATAGAGGCGCATATATATATACACACAGTGAATAGACATTTTCTTGAAAACAGAGAACCCCTTGTTACTTGACAAATGGTGGGAGAAGTCACAAAACAAGATCGTGTCTTGAGATATATTTTAGTTCGCATTCTCCATTTATTCGCGTACATTTTCGCATACTTTTCATATTCTCATTCTCATGCAATCTTCTATAATATCCTTTTCAACTCTCTTCTTCTTCTTCTCCTTCTTTTTCATCTTAAAAAGAAAGAGCGAGAGAACAAATTTCCACAGAAAGTTAAATACGCGCGCGTATATATTCGAAACACAACTTTGCATTTAACAGAAAAAAAATTTAACTAAACTAATTAGCCAGGATGTAAATTTTTAAAAATGAAATTTCTCTGATTTTATGTCACGCCTCTTTTTTTTACCGTAAGTTAACAATTGACTTTTAAAAAAAAATTAGCATTAAAAAAGAAAATTAATTAAGAGAGAAAAAATAAGTTTAAAGTTTTAACATTTTTTCCCAAAAAGCACAAACAAATTACAAGAACCTTCCTGAAATATTCGGAACCTTCCAAAAAATACTCCCGGAAGGTTCTAGGAAGTAGGTAAATGTCCGTGAATACAGAATATTCCCAAGGTAAGTTCCAGGAATATTTTTTTTGAAAAGAATATTCAGAGAATATTAATTAGTATTCTTGAAATAAAAAATATAGGAATATTAGAAATATTATTAAGAATATTAGGAATATTTTTAGGAATATAGGGATTATTATTAAGAATAATATTAGGAACATTATTATTATTAGGAATATTATTAGGAATATTACTATTATTAGGAATATTATTTGGAATATTACGATTATTATTAGGAATATTATTTGGAATATATTAGGAATATTACTATTATTAGTAATATTAGGAATATTACTATTATTAGGAATATTATCATGAATATTGTGAATATTAGGAATATTATTAGGAATATTGGGAATATATAAGAAATATTAGGATCATTAATAGGAATATTATAAAGACTATTTGGATTATTATTTGGAATATTACTATTATTAGGAATATTATTAGGAATATTACTATTTTTAGGAATATTATTAGGAATTTTGGGAATATTAGGAATATTATTAGGAATATTACTATTTTTAGGAATATATTAGGAATATTATTATGAATATTGGGAATATTGGGAATATTATTAGGAATATTGGGAATATTAAGATCATTAATAGGAATATTGTTAGAAATTTTATTAGGAATATTATTAGGAATATTATTAGTATATTACTTTCTTCAT